AACAGCTGTTAGCTGCCATGTGGGTGCTGGGATTCGAACCTGGGTCTTCTGTAAGAACAGCCAGTGTTCTTAACTGCTGAGCCATCTGTCCAGCCCAAGAAATCCCTACTTTAGCAAGGGATTTAGCAATTGTTTATTAAGACAATTAAAGAAGGGTTAGGGATGCTAGCGATGTGGCTCAGAGGGAGCCATTTGCTTGGCATACAGGAAATCTTGAGTTAAGAGTCACAGTACTACACAGAAAAAGAAAAAGATGAAGACCACTAAAACTGCATATAAAGATATTTAATCTTGGGGCTTGGCTGGAGAGGTGGCACAGCAGGGAACTCAGTTCCATGAAATTGTCCTCTGACCTCTATGTGGGTGCTGTGGCATGTGCATCCACACATATTATGTACACACATACACACAAATATTTTTTAAAGAATATTTAATCTAAATAGCTTTATGATACATACATTTTTAAAAGTAGCAATGGAGACATAATTAGAAGTCAAAACTTGACAGGCAAATATCCACTAAATATATATTTTTTTCTAGCCCTTTTTGGAAACTTCAACCAAGTTACACATTTGGATTTGAACTCTGACCTGAACCAAATGGTATCTATAATGACAATGACCTAAAAGAATAAAAAATCAGAATTTAAAAAAAATTTTCGTTTAGTGCTAGCAATAAACTGCAGGAAATCAGTGCATACTCACTCACCTGAAGAATCTGCTTTCCATTAACAACTGTGCCATTCTGACTGCCCTGATCCACAAGTACGTAACTTTGCAAGTCATGATCAAAATAAATTTCTGCATGAAACTTCAAGAAAAGAAATCAAGCAATTATAAAGTACTAAACATTTTTAATCCATAGACAGCAATTTTACCATGATACAATGATGTGGTGTTAGTCTCTGATAATTTAACCTCTATAGCTTTTAACGCTTTTTCTGAACATAAAGGATTACAAATCTGATAGAAATATAGAGGCTGTAACTCCACCTTTAACTACAATGAATAATTTTGTAGAAATCCCACTTTGTCTACTTTTAAAATATAAGTAGATTATACTGTACATACCAACTGAAGTTTTCCTTCCTTAATACAAGTAAGCAGTTATCATTGCCCACGTCACTGAAATTCTCAATATAAACTCACTCGAAACACTCAAGGACTACTTCTCAAAAGAAGTTAAGTTCTCCGGTCTTCAGGACGTAGGACTGCCCTCCCTCCCTGACGCAGAGCACTGTACTCCTATGCTCGGCTACTCTGCACAGAGCACTGTGGTCCCATGCTCTTCTGCTTCTTAGGGTTAATATCATGCCGTGTGGTTTGTCCTGTTGTTGGGTAAACTCTGTTCAGTTTGCTGAATAGTAACCCACAGCGAATGCTTCTAAAAAAAACAGACATCTAGGCTTCTAGGGTTTTACTGTCTCTAAAAAATATTGGTATGAGCCTCCTTGTGTGTACAATCGCTGCACAATCCAAGTGCTTCTCTGGGGTACATACACAGATGGAATTGATAAATCATATATGCAATGTTTATTTAAATTTTTATGTATGTTATTTATTGTGTATATGTGTATAGTCGAGTGTTCTTATGTTAGGACATTGACATGTGTGGAACTAAGGACAATAAAACAAGAAGTTCACCATACAATTGTCTGCATTTTTTACTAGAAATGGAAAAAGACTTCTTTGCTCATAAAGTTATAGTGAGTTTTCTTTGGCGGCAAGAGAATCAAGGGTCATGGTAAGTAAACAGGCTATAACACATGGTTAGATTTAAGAGTATGAGGACCTTCCCCCTTCCAAATGGGAACCAGGGAAGACTTTCATACTAATAATGGGAAATAAATTCCATTCTAAAAGAGACAAAAATCATATAAAGCCTATTTCAGATTCATTTGTATTATATTCTAATAATTTTTTTTTAAAAATGTGACTTGGGAGGCAGAGGTGGATGGATCTCTGTGAGTTTGAGGCCAGACCCTGTCTCAAAAAGAACCCCCCCCCCCAAAAAAAGGGTGCTAACAGCTTAGGGGCAGACATAGGTACTTGCCTAGCATGCACAAATCCCTGGGTTCAATCCTTAGCAATGAAAACAGAAAGAAAAAGAAAAAACTATGACAAAAAAGCAAAAACAAAGCAGGAAATATGAAGTATGAAGAGGCTGATTAGTTAAACCTTTTTTTCTTCAAATTTTAAGTTTCAATTCTATTGTTTGCTTTGAAAACTCAACTGGTTTTTGTTGTTGTATTTAATGTGCCACTGAAACTTTGAGAAAAGCTGAGAACAAGACCCTAAAGTGGAGGACTGATTATTCATAGACAGTAAGACATTCGAACGCAAAGCAGTTTCTTTGAATTCAGGTTATTTCTGAAGTGCCACAAAATGTGTTAAATAAATACTGCTTTACTATTTAGATTAAATGAATCCATGTTTAGTACTTGTGCTTCAGACTTTAAAAAAGGACTTAACTAGCCAGGTATAGTGATATATACTCATGTCCTATTAACTCAAGAGGCTGCGACAGGATTATTGGGCAGTCTAGGAACCTAGGATGACCCTCTCACACAAAAAACTGAAACAAACAACCTGAACCAAGCATAGTGGCGCATGCCTAGAAAGCCAGCACTCAGGAAGTACAGGGAGGAGAATCAGAAGTTTAAGGCTACAGGGCTGGAGAGATGGACAGCTCAGCGGTTAAGAGCACCGGGTGCTCTTGCAGAGGACGGGGGTTCAATTCTCAGCATCTATGGGGCAGCTAACAACTATTCGTAACTCCAGTTCCAGGGGATCCAACACCCTCTTCTGATCTCTGCAGGCGCTGCATGACAGGGTGCACTTACATACATGCAGGTAATACCCCATACATATAAAATAAAAAGAATAAATAAAATATTAAAAATAAATTTTAAAAGGAAGTTTAAGGCTAGAAGGCTACAGTTTGAGGCCAGTCAGCTACAGTTTGAGGTCAGTCTGTCTATGAGGCCCTGTCTTAAACCAAACCAACCAAACCAAACCAAACCAAACCAAACCAAAATACAAAAGCCCTCAATTTGCTCAAATTGTGATCATTTTTATTTTTTCAAACACGAATGAGGTTAAGTCTACACTGCTCTCATCACCAGTATTACACAGTCTTCAGTTTTGTACTATAATGATTTGCTTTTCTTTCTATTTGTTTTATTTTTGACACAGGGTCTGGCTATGTATGTAGTCCAGGCTGGCTTGGAACTCAATGTACAGCCAAGGCTGTACATTGAACTCTCAATAAGGATACTCACATAGGGCTTCTTTTTTTAATGTAATGATTGTTTCCCCCTTCTATGGGACTATACTTGAGAAAGCAAAGGTCTTACCTTACTAACACCAACTTCTGGGATTCGGAGAGTGTGTTCCATATCTTTTTCTCTGCAATATTAAGTAAAGTGACTTGAATAACTTCTGGAAGGTACAGAAACACAGCAGTTACAGTGAGACAGTAAAAATACTTTTGTAAATAGATGCTAGAATGGAAGCCTAGCCTGGCAGTTCCTCTGGTTGTAGACTGTCCTGCACACTCTAAATTTGCATGTTCCCACATAGTATTTTTTTGTTTACATGTCTTTTTTCTCATCAAACTGTGCTTTCTTTAAGTAAAATTCTGTGTTAGTCCTATTAATACTCATAGCACAGAGAACAATGCTTGAAACACAATACATGCTCAACTGCATTTCTGGCATAAGTGATAGACTGACAGACACACCAACGCCAGCCATTCTTACCTCCCGATTGTGGCAGCGTTTACTGCTGTGATAATAAACAGCGATCCTGTCTGCAACACTGGGGATCTGATAACAATCACCCGAATACAGGGAGGCCAAATTTTTTCTTCATCTGTCAAAGAAAGAAGTAGGCAAACATTAATTTAAATGCTCTAAAAAATAACTTTTCACACAGATAACTAGGATGCATTCATAAAATAAAAGCTAAATACTACACTGCTTGCCTAGCATGTGTTAGGTCCTGGGTTCAAAAGCCAATATAGCAAACAAAATCTTCTTAAATTCTGTTACATGATATAAATATATATATATA